TTTTTTTTATTCGTTTTTTTTTCTTTTCTTGGATAAGGATTGTGGATTATGTATACATATAGTTGAGAGTAGGGCTTGGAGAAGAGGACAGGACACGCGCAGAGAGAACCTAGAAGCCTTTGTGCCTGAAAAACAAGGATACAAAAATGACTAAAATAACAGCTTCACAATACCAAATCTGCTTATGGAATAGCAAATTAGCAAAATTAACATAAGATTTCAGATGGGTTGGAGATTAGAAACCCCCAATACCCGAAACAAACCCTAATTTATTCTACAGCGGCAATTTAACAAACACATAAACCATAAAATAGGGCAGTAGCTTTGAGCCATTAACGCAGCAAAGGCTTGGTTTCTTGGCGACACAACCGTTGCATTGTTTTGCTCTCATTCATCTATAACAAGAAATTCATTGACTAAAAAACAGGGAGGGGGGTCCAGCTGAAGAACCCTAATTTTCATAAAAACGGGCCCAGAAAAACAATTTACTCAGAACCCAGATGAATGAATCGCCATTAACAACCGGACCAAAACCGTGTACCTTAATCGACCGGCATATGCGACGGAGACGGAGATCGGATCGCACACAAAACGAACATTTCGAGGAGAAAATAAGGAAGATCTCACAAATTTACTACATATATACAGACGATATATAATATATTGTGTATATATATACAGAGAGAGAGAGAGAGAGAGAGAGAGAGAGAGAGAGAGAGAGAAGCACTTACGGAGAAAGACGGACCCGTCTTTGAGCAATGGGAAGAGTGTTGCAGAGGAGAGGGGAGCAGAGCTGTTAGCCAGTCTGAGCTTGCGTGTGCAGTTTAGCTTCATTTTTTTTCAACTTTTCAACTTTTTATGTTTTGGCCCCAAATATTTATCCATATTTCGCCTCAATCCACACAATTTTTTTTTTTTTCACTTCGTTGTTCACTTTTACCCCCTATTATGCAAAATGGGTCCTTCTCTAGCTCGACTCTTTTCGGCTCGTCGATCAAGCTCGAACTCGTTCAAAACTCGTTAAATCAACAAATTAAACTCGTCTCATTAAAATTCAAAAATAATTTTTTTTATATATTTTGTTATGATTCAAATTAAATTTGACTCGTTAATATTGATAAACAAACAAGAAACAAAACCACACACGACTACCAGCCAGCTTGTTGAAGACTCGTCCAATCAATCAATCGTAATGTATCTCATATCCATTTAAAAACATAAACAATTCGTGTTTTCAACCAAATATTAATGTATTCACCTAATATGATGACACAAATTAAAAAGTATATGACAGAAATTAGGTAGTAACAATGGTTAACAATGTTCATCAATACCTTCCCTAAAAACATACCAAGAACATGATTAAACACCAACAAAGTAAAGAATCGAATCGCCTGTTTTCACGACATTTGGTTTCGCTCAATCGGGTACAAAGATTCTCCAGGTCCAGAAAAGTAGAAACCCCAGGATTTAGGTAAAACAACTAAACAACTTTAATAATTTCTTGCCTACTTTCGTCTGTATTTGAAACCGGGCTCTCGACAGCAAAACACAAAGCCGGTAGAAACTGGTAAAACACTATAGGGCAGCAGCATGAACATGGACCAGATGCTAAGGATACTTGTTTCTGGTTTTTCACCCCTTTTCTTTTGGTCCCAAAAAAACACCAACCTTTTTTTGCCAGATCTTCAATTGCAATAACATAGCCAAGTGCAGACAATTTGATAACAAAAATTTGGCAAACCGTAATACTTGGCTATTTACAGGTAACTTCAGACATCAAACTCGAGAATTTACCATGTCATGCAGAAAAAAAGGTGGTAAGATATAATTCGGAAAAAAAAAATAAAAAAAAAGATCCAGCTAAAGGTTACTTCTTTTTTCAGCATTTTCCATGATGCAATTTGTTTTTACCTCCACCATGGTGAACCAGCCTCGTAAGTGTGGGGCCCGTTATCGTCCCATGATATATAACACGCTTGAAGGCCAATAGCAACAGTCGGCTCCTTGCCATGACAGGCAATCCATTCTTCGACAGCTAGTGATTTAGCCTCGTCGTCTTCATCATACTTGTTTTGGTTGTGCTTGCCAAACGGGTTCAATCCCGGGCAGTTAGCCTCAGCAATGGCAGCTGGCATATACATCGAGTCACCCACTAAGGGAGCCCCACAAGCAGCCAGTTGTGCTCGAATCTATTTTTTTTTTTTTTTTACCATAATTAAGTCAATAGAAACCAAACAATTATTTGAAGAAAAAAATAATAAGCAAGACCAAAACAAAGAAGGGTCCAGTTGGTTTAACGCCATAACAATTTTAGTCTCAAGATTCCAACTTTTCGCTTTTTAGTCCTACGATTTAATATATTGTTGCAATTTCAGTCTTTGAGGACTAAAAACTGCAACGAAATTTTGAATTACAGGACTTAAATTGCTAATAAAATATCTGAGAATTTGAGAATTTGCAAAATATTAAATCATAGGAC